CCCAAGAGTGCCCCAAGAGAGCCCCAAGAGGGCCCCATGAGGGCCCCAAGGCGCCCCAAAAGAGCCCCAAGAGGACACCAAGAACCCCCAAAGAGCCCCAAGAGGGCCCCAAGGTCCCCCAAAAGAGCACCAATAGTATCCCAATATCCCCCAATACAGCCCCGCAGCTCCAAGAAGGTCTCCGATGCTCCAAGATAGCCTCCAAGATGGCTCAACACCCTCCTCCGTCTCCTCTCCTTGCACGCTCTGTTTCACTATATGTGTCTCTTCGTCCCCTTTCCTGTCAGCTCTCATGGGCAGGGCTTCTGAATGGGCTGGTGGGGATTCGCGAAGCGTAAACAATAAGGTTTAAGTCGAGCGTGTCCCTCCGCAAGAGGAATATTCAACAGTAGTAATACACAAGACTGGGGACGACTGTTCGTGCTCTTTTGACGAGTTTGGACTTTATCTTCCTTCCAACATTCGCCTGTAGGAGGACATGTCCGAACTAAACTTAGATTGAGGAAAGATCGGGAAATGCTGAGATCCAGCGGGTCTGGAAGCTGTATCGGGCGCCGCGGCCATTCCGTTCCGAAGGTTCCCAGGGCGTGGATAGGCTTGTCATCATCATCCTCCTCCTCCTCATCATCATCCTCATCATCATCAGCAGCAGCATCATCAGCATCGTCATAATCATCATCGTCATAATCATCATCATGATCAGCATAATCATCACCATTCACATCACCGCCATCATCACCATCATAAGCATCATACTCATCATCATCAGCAGCATCAACATCACCATCATCGACATCAGCATCAGCATCAGCATCAGCATCATTATCATCATCATCATCATCATCATCATCAGTACCATCATCACCATCATCCTCATCCTCTTCCTATTCCTCATCCTCTTCCTCATCCTCATGTTCATCCTCATCCTCATCACGATCCCCATCCTCATACTTATCAGCAGCATCATCATCAGCATCATCACCGCCAGCATCACCATCATAATCACAATCATCATCATCAGCAGCATACTCAGCATCACCAACATCGACATCATCATCGCCAACATCATCATCATCATATATACTCATCATCATCATCATCATCATCATCATCATAATCACAATCGTCATCATCATCAGCAGCATCATCATCAGCATCATCATCACCGCCATCATCACCATCATAATCACAATCATAATCACAATCATCAGCAACATCATCAACATCACCATCATCGACGCCAGCATCAGCATCAGCATCAACATCAACATCAGCATCATCATAATCATCATCATCATCCTCTTCCCATTCCTCGTCCTCTTCCTCATCCTCATCCTCATGCTCATCCTCATCCTCATCCTCATGTTCATCCTCATCCTCATCCTCCTCATCCGCATCCGCATCCGCATCCTCATGCTCACCCTCATGATCATGATCATGATCATGATCATCATCATCATCATCATCATCAGCAGCAGCAGCAGCAGCATCAGCATCAGCATCAGCATCAGCATCAGCATCAGCATCAGCATCAGCATCAGCATCAGCATCAGCATCAGCATCAGCATCAGCATCATCATCATCAGCATCAGCATCATCAGCAGCATCATCATCAGCATCATCATCATCATCATCATCATCATCATCATCATCATCATCATCATCATCTCATCATCATCATCATCATCATCATCATCATCATCATCATCATCATCATCATCATCATCATCATCATCATCATCATCATCATCATCATCATCATCATCGGGAGGGAGGCTGGGAAGATCCGGGGGATGGGACCTCGGGAACGAACACCTGCACAGCCGTCACCGCACGGTAGTGGGACTCGAGCCGTTCTCCGAGGGCGTCTCGGGCGAATGGGGCCTCCGAGGTCCCAAGAAGACCGTGCGGCGACGGAACGCGCGATGAGGTCTCTCGGGGTGCCGAGGCCACCGCGCGGTCCGTCACCACACGGTCTTCGGACCCCCGAGACCTGCACAGCTGCCCCCCCCAGCGACCCCGTGGAGGGCCGGCCCCCCCGAGAACGAGGGTTCGGTCGGACCTGTCCTCGTACAGGCGGACTTTGAAAGAAAAACGAGTGATACTCAAACATATCCCAGAATAGTAGAACAATCCCCCACAGATAATGGTGTTACTATTTCGAATCATCCCCCCTATAGGGGGACATGCACGACTGAAAGCCAAAGGGAGCCAACACCGACGGCCGTCCGAGGCAGGCAGCGAAGCCGCCTCGAGGCCAGCGGCGAGACTGGCCCAGAACGAGCAGGGAGCGTCGGCCGCCGTCCTCGCTCGAGCCGTCTCCGTCCTGGCCCGCTCGAAGGGGCGAAGGGGAACGCCGGGAGGGGCTTCGAACTTCGAGGCTGTCGGACGCTTCCGTAAATTATCGGCGGCTTTCCAACCTCGGGATACCTTCCAGTAGCTGCGCCATGCCGAAAACGTTCCGGGGGTGCCCAGATCGTCCCGCACGGCCGCTGGATGCCCGAACCATGGCCCGAAAACAGACAGGGGACCGGCTCGGGGAGGGGGAGACATCGACCTGAAACTGGCGACACATCGCCGACAGATCGGCCACAGGCGACCGGCCTCCGACAGGAAGTCCGCTCGTTCCTCGGCGGCGTGGGGGTCGATGGTCCCCCCCCCCTGAGCCTATCTTTAGGTCGGGCCTGTCCCCCGTACATGGGGATTTTGGGCGAAGAATGAAAAATACTCCAAAAATACCCCCAAATGGCAACAAAAATAAGCAAAACATCGTCCCCTGTCTATTTTTGACTATTTTTGAATATTCCTCCTGTAGAGGGACACGCCCGACTTAAGACTATCCCCCCATAGCGCTGCCCCTGAAAGGGAATGGAACGGGGGCCTGCGGGCACGGCGCACCGCGCGAGGCCGGGCTTCCTGGGAGAGGGGGGAGGCCAGGAACGGCGTGGATCTGCATCGTTGCCCTCCTGTGAGAAGCGACTCCAGTGTGCCAGCTGATGGGAGGAAGGCGGAGAGGATGGTGGCGATGAGGTGGAGTCACTGCGTAGGGGGAGAAAGTCCTGGGCAGAGCAGGGCCACGACGCCAGCGACGGCGGAGACGGCGCGCGCTTACGGTCCGCGCTGACGCACGGGAACAGGAGGACGAGCAGGAGGGACAGGACAAGGGAGGAGGGGAGGAGGGAGGGGAAGGAGGAAGAAAAAGGGAAGAGGGATGAGGAGGATGGGGGCAAAGGGGAAGGATGAGGAATGCGTTGGAAGAGGTGGAAGAGGAGTTTTTGTCCCCGCGACCACTGTTCAGGCGAGGATCTCGCGTCTGACAGCGCGCCTGGACGACCAGTGAAAAAAACGCGAGCCAAGACAACATGGCCTCGGAGGGCGGCGCATCACCGCCGCCCCTTCGCTGCTCGCTCACGACACCACATCTGGATGCCGCCCCAAGCCCCCCGCCTTGCAAAGGTCCTGGACCCTGTCGCCCCCTCGGCCACCGCGTTGGAAGGGCGGTGCCAGACTTAGCGGGGCCAAGAACCACCCCCACAGCCCGTAGGCAGGTGGCCCGCGCCCTAGAGCTTCCCCTCCACACGCACTAATTAGGTCGGGGTGACCCCGGCCCCGCATCCTTCAAACCCCGCCAGGCACAGCCGGGGAGCGCCTGCAGTGGGACCGTACGGCAAATAGGGACCAAACCCCGCGAGCCAAGACCGCACACCCCCAGGGGCCAACCTAGGGAATGCGTGCAAGGACCCCGTGGCATGGCCCTTCTGAGGAGGAGGAGGAGGAGGAGAAGAGGGAGGAGAAGGAGGATGAGGAGGATGAGGAAGAGGAGGAGGAGGAGACGGAGGAGGAGGAGAGAGGAGGAAGAGGAAGAGGAAGAGGAAGAGGAAGAGGAATAATAATAAGAAGAAAACTATTCAGAAGAAGAAAAAGAAGATAAAGAAGAAGATGGCTGCCGGCGTGGTGGGGGCAACGCCCCCCACCCATGCTCAGGGAGGGCCAGAGAGGGCTGCCGTGGGCTCGACGGCGCCGGCCTCCGGGGCCTGCACCCTCCCTTGGACTCCTCCTCCTCCTCCTCCTCCTTCTCCTCCTCCTCCTCCTCCTCCTCCTCCTCCTCCTCTCCTCCTCCTCCCCCTCCTTCTCTTCCTCCTCTCCTCCTCCTCCTCCTCCTCCTCCTCCTCCTCCTCCTCCTCCCCCTCCTCCTGCTCCCCCCCTTGCCTCGCAGCGCGGGCCCCCGCAGGGAGGCCGCCGCAGGACCAGCACCTGGCGAGGCCAGGGGCCGTCGGTGGACGCCGCGGGGCAGCGTCCCGCCGCCGCCGCGCAGCGCGCGGCTCCCGGCCTCTGACTGGGCTTAGGTCGGGCATGCCATCCTCCAGGCTGATTTTTGCTAATAGGAAAATGAAACATTAAAAACAGTACCGAAATTGATAATTGACCAACTGCTCCCGATACTAATCCCTGGGGGATACTAAAGTTCGGGGGTCTGGCGGGCATAACCAAAGATGATGATCCTGGGCGCTCGTGTAACCTGACCTTGTAGATCTTGGCACAAGACTGACTCGAGAGATCTCGAGGCTCGTGGCTACAACTTGCCTGAGAGGTCCTTGGCGCTCCTGGCCACGAAACCTCTCTTGGTGCTGTTGCTAGTCAACATGATATGCGAGCAATTTCGATTCGCAACTTCCCCTGGGGATTCTCAAGTTCGGCCTCCGCACCCTCTCCACAATTATATCCTACTGGCACGGGAATAAAAAAAAGGGGGGAAAGGGGGGGGATGATTTATTATCGGGGGCAGTGGGTTAAAAACAGTCGAAACGTCGTCCCCAGACTATTTTCTTTTGTTGATTTGGGAATATCCCTCCTGTGATTCAAGGGACAGGCCCGACCTAAGCGTGGCGGGGAGGGGGGCACTGACGTGCCGGCCCACGGCTCCGCACGCCCTGGCTGCCCAGGCCGTCCCGCACGCTTGGCCAAGCTCGTCCCCGCACGAGGCAAGACTCGCCTCGCGAGCCCTCCTGCAAGCTTGAGCCGCCCGCTGGGGCCACACGTGCGCCCTGGCCTGCACCTGCACCCGCGCTGTCGGCCTCGGCAGCACCGGGAGCTCTATCCTCCGCGCGCGCGGCGAGAACATACAATTAAGGGAAGGAAGGACGCTGCCTGTGGAGGCCTCCCGGGTGGGGTCCGAGTAGATGGGGTCGGAGGATCGCGCCACATCGGCAACACATCGGCGATACATCGGCGATGCATCGGCGATTCGTCGCCGCCGTCGGCGACGCATCGGCGACGTCGGCGTGGAAAAAAGCGGGCTCCGCATCGAGCCGCATCGCCGATGCATCAGCGATACGGCGCGATCCTCCGACCCCATCTACTCCGACCCCATCTAGGAGACCTAGTTAGAGACTGCCTGCGCGTGAAGCTGCCCTATCCGAAAACTGCCCGCGCAAAATTGGGCCTCTCCCCGCTCGGGCCAGAATGGCCACAAAAGGAGGAGAGGGGGGAGGAGGGTGTGGAGGAACGACAGCATTGGGTCTGCGCGTCACGCGCCGAAGACATGGACTGCTCTTGCAGCCAGGCAGCCTCCCTCCCCTCCCCTCCCCTCCAACCAGAAGGGGAAGCCCACCACCACCAGCTGGGAGGCTCTGCCCGCCCATGGAGGAATGCCGCTGTGCCAGTGTGCAGGCTGCCCCCCGCGGAGAAGCGCCGCCAGAAGCCACCCGCGCCGCCACCGCCCAGAGACGAGACCCCTCCAGGTGGGGTGGCGACCGCCCGCCCGGCCCGCGCGCGGGGCGCGCCACTAGCAACAGCTCGGAGCCCTCGGAGATCATGCCCGACGCCGTGTAGAGCACCTCGTCCGCCGCCCCCTCCCCTCCGCGCGCGCGCCCCACGAGCCTCCCGGCGCCCGCTCCTCCGCCCGCTCCTCCGCCCGCTCCTCCGTCTCCCGTCGCGAGCGCCGCCTCGTCGACCCGCCGGGCGTGCTGGCTGGGCGGGCCGAGCGTTTCGCTGGAGACGTCTTCTCAAAAGTGCCTGCCTGAAACTTCCGCGCAAAACGCCACTGCGGCCCCGCCAGCCAACATGACAGAAAGTCTAAGCGGCCCCCACAGGTCCCCATCACGCCGCTCCTTCTCCCCCCTTGCTCCCTCCTTCCCCTCCACCTTCCCCTCTTCAATTGCCCTCGTCCTCCCCCTCTCTCGCATCCTTCATCGTCCTCCCCCGCTCTCTCTCGCTCACTGCCTCGTTCTGGTCGTCCCTCCTAACTACTGGCTCCCTCCTATTTCCTCCACATCTTCCTCCGCCTTCTCCTCAGACCACCTTCCGAAAGCAGCAGAAAACTATCGCGAACAATCACGATCATGCCATAGTCTGCAATAACACGCGAAAACGATTGCGGAGGCCGGCCGAATTGGGCTCGAATGGATGGGGTCGGAAGATCGCGCCGTATCGCCGACTCACTGGTGATGCGGCGCGATCCCCCGATCCCCCGACACCATCAAAGAAATGACATACGGCATAAACATAATTTCTTGGAGGTCCGCTCGCATTTCTTGGATCGGCGCTGGGCCCCCTCCAAGACGCGCGGAGCGCGCAAGGGGCGGCACCAGGTGTGCCGCCAGGAGAGCCCAGCACCGATCCGCGAAATCCGCGCAGAGCTTCGAAGATTTCTGCCTTGTGCAAGATGATCTCCTTCGAACCGCGGCCACCTGGAGCTTGCAAGCGTGCTGGACCTCCCGGAAACCCGCTCCTGAGGCGCTCCGGCGCCGCCCCCCGCGCGGGCAACGCGCGGGCAACGCGCGGGCACGAACGACTGGCCCTTACATGACCGCCCACAGTGGATGTCAATCATACCCGACCATGCACACTGACGATGCACTGAGAATCCTGGGCCATTCAGCCCCCATTGCAGAACCCACGCTGCGGACCCCTTCTTTCGGGGGCGCGCAAACATGGATTAGCGATCCATGGATTTAGCGCGCGGTCGCCAAATCCATGGATCGGGGGAGGTGCCCTCACCAAAATGCGGCCAGTGCTGCCTCGCTCGGCGGCGGAAATCGGCGATGCCCCATGGAAACGGGACCCGTCGCTAATCCACGCCTCCCCTAATCCATGCCTGCGATCGCCTGAGGTGCGGACCCCGACTTTCACCCTCCGACCCTCCCCCCCTCCCCCGCGGCAGGGCGGGCACGTAGCCGTAGACCACGGTCAGGAATATGAGCTGCCCGAGGTTGCAGGCCCCCGGCTCGATCCACGGGGGCCACACCGCGCTGCTCCCCCCCTGGCAGCGGGATGGCTCGCGCCCGGAGCTTGACGACTGCGACAAGACACGACTGGAGCCTTCCTCCTCCTCCTCCTCCTCCTCCTCCTCCTCCTACTCCTCCTCGACCGGAGCCCTGGCCCCCATGTTTCAGTGGCATTTTTCCAGCGCGAATCTGAAGGCGCCCAGGGACACACAAAGAAATAGAGACGAGTCCCAGGATTTCCAATATTTTCCCATAGCTTCGGGGTCTTCGTCTTCCCCCCACTTCCCATATTTTCCCAAGTTTTCCTGGTAGTCGACGATGAACTGTGTCTGTGAGTTTCTTTCCCTCCTGAGAACCGCCCGTCGTGGCAAACATTGCGAGGCCAGCTGCCAAGATCTCGGGGCGGGGGTTCAAGGAGGTCCGCGCGGATTCGTGGGATTGGCGCTGACCCCATCCCCTCCCCTGGCGCGCGCGCAGCGCGCCAATGGCGGCGGCGGAAGCGCCGCTAGGTGGGTCCTGCGCAGATCCGAGAAATCCGCACGGACGTCCGAAAGACGTTCATGTTCATGTAGTCTATGTTGATAAAACGAAGCCACGACGAGGATAACATCGGGTGAGGATAAACCGTGAGTCTCTGAGCTTCGGCGGCTCTACAAGACGTCTCGAGCGCCGCGGCCTTCTCAGAGCGTTCGTGAACGCTCTGAGAGCATTCCGGAACGCTGTAGAACGGCTGTATCCTTGTCCTAGCCCCCTTCAATTGCAACGACGCGAAGACGTCAGGGTCTGGAAGACAAAAATCGATCCCCGGACCTGTTTTGGGGTGCGTTCTGGCTGGCATGGTGAGTGAAGATGCAGCTTCGGGCGGGTGGTAGTGGCGGGTGGCTTAAAGGGGGATGAAGAAAAGGGCCCTAAAGGGGCATTTGAGGGCCACGTGTGGGCTCCTGCTGGCTTCTCGTCCTGGCCCCATCCGGGTGCACGCTGATGCAGCCGAGGTCTCCTTCCGCGTTCCCCTTCCGCGGCCGCCCTCTTCTTCCCCGACCAGACTTGTGTGCCCCTAATTCCAGCGCGGCCCGCCGGGCATCCGACCGCGTTTGCGTCCGCCGTCGCTGCTGGCAAACGTGTGAATCCAGCTGTTCCTTCTTCGAGTTGGGTCAGGGCGAGGGGGGTTGGCGACCTCGAAAGCACAGAGGAACAAACAACTGCATAACATACTGTTGGCGGTCCGCACGGATTCTTTGGATCTGCGCTGGACCCCCCCCGCGCCAGGGGCGGCGCCGGAGGCGCCGCCCGGGGGCCGCGCGGAGCGCCGCGAGTTTATGTCGAGGCTTTTTGTTTTCCTCCTTCTTCGACAGAAGCCAGGGGTGGTAGAGGCCTCCAAGATGGGGTCGAAGTAGATGGGGTCGGAGGATCGCGCCGCATCGCCGATACATCGGCGATGTATCGGCGATGCGCTAGCGATGCATCGTCGACGTGGGCGATGCATCGGCAACGTCGACGTGGAGGAAATCGCGCTCCGCATCGAGCCGCATCGGCGATGCATCGGCGATGCGGCGCGATCCTCGGCTCCCATCCACTCCGACCCCATCCAGGAGGCCTAGAGGTGGAGGGGCGGCTGCAAGGGCCTGACACGGCCCCTCCTGGAGAGAGGCTCCCCCCGAGGGGGCCTCGGGAGAGGGCCTTCCCGGAGCGGCCTGCCTCCCTCTCTCCGCCCCGCGCCCCGCCGTCCGGGCGCCGCCGAGTCTCTGAACGAGGCCTCGCCGCTCGGCGGAAGGGCTCCTCCTCCTCCTCCTCCTCCTCCTCCTCCTCCTCCTCCTCCTCCCCTCCTCCTCCTCCTCCTCCTCCTCCCTTCCTCTTCCCCTCCCCTTCCTCCTCCTCCTCCTCCTCCTCCTCCCTCCTCCTCCTCCTCCTCCTCCTCCTCCCGCCAGCCTTCTGGAAAAGGGGGTGGTTACGGGGTCCGAGGGGGGGGGGCACCGGCTCCTGGTCGAGCTGCTCGGGGGGGGGGGGGGGGGGGGGGGGAGGGGAGGAGGAGGAGAGGAGGAGGAGGAGGAGAGAGGAGGAGGAGGAGGAGGAGGAGGAGGAGGAGGAGAGGGAGGAGGTGGAGGAGGAGGAGGAGGGGAGGGGGGAGGGTGAGGAGGAGGAGGAGGAGGAGGAGGAGGAGGAGGAGGGAGGAGGAGGAGGAGGAGGAGGAGGAGGAGGAGGAGGAGGAGGAGGAGGAGGAGGAGGAGTGGAGGGGGAGGGTGAGGGGAGGAGGAGGAGGAGGAGGAGGAGGAGGAGGAGGAGGAGGAGGAGGAGGAGGAGGAGGAGGAGGAGGAGGAGGAGGAGTGAACCAGGATTCATTGAGCATCATGCGACCCCTAACCCTAATACCACAAAGGATTCGTGGCCCAACTCATGTCCTCGGTGTTTAGGGTTATCCCTGAATATGAGGGTGGCTTCGTGTGTGGCATCTGCAAAAAAACGACCCCGGTCCCCTCCCAAAGGATTAGGGGTGCTTTCTTTGCTGATCGAGGATTGAGGAGCAGACGGCGGTTCGCACTCTGCCATGGCCGATGCCATAGGACGCTGCGGCCCGCACGCTTGACAATGAAACTAGCGCAACGGGTAAGACTCGAGTAGGTGATCGACTACATAGTTGATTCACCCCCAAAACGGTTTGCCCCATCGGACCTACGACGACTACGTAGCCATTTCGCCAGTGTGCTGAGAATTCCAAGTATGGTTCCGTAGACTCGACGAGGAACATACTTCTGGAGTACATGATTCCTGTAGCCGACCCCCTACTCGCAAGACAGGGGCCTCGTCACCAGGGGCGGGGAGAACGAGGATGGAGTGCACCCCTCCGCTCCCGGAGCCCCCCCCGCCTCACAGGCCCCCCCACACGCGCTCCTGTGCCCTGCGCCGCCCGCCCCTGAGGAGGCGAGCGGCCCCCCTGGGGCCTGTCATGCCGGCGGCGGGGGCCCGCCTTCCAGAGCAGCATCCTGCAGCGCCCGGTCTCGAGAAGAGAGCGCCTTCCCTCCGTGTAGCTCCTGTGCACATGGCCAAAGATCAGTGCCCCGAGGCTTCGGGCCCCTGGCAACAGCCCTGCTGGCACTCTGAGGCAATCCCAAGTGCTCTCCTGGCGAGGGCCACGGGGGCCGCTGGGAAGCCAGAACCGCCAAGATCGACCCCCGGACAGCACTCACATCTGTATGATTACACCGACTGTATCGATATATCCATATATGTAAATGTATAGAGATACACATATATACACATATATGTATTCCACATCTGGAATATCCGACGTCGTCCCAAACCTCTCGACACCTTCCCTGGGACCACTCTCCTACCCTGGGCCATCTCTTGATGGCCGCGGAACCGGGCCCACAGGATGCCAGAGAGGGGAAGCACTGCCGCCGCGACATGATCGCAACGCCAGACGTCCGGGCCGAGGGTCCGCGCGGACTTCTCGGATCGGTTCCTGGACCCCCTCCCTGCCGCGCGGAGCCCGCCCAAAGGCGGCGCCGCCTCGCCAGGCCCAAGGCCGGCGCCGGCCCAAGAGATCTGTGCGGACCTTCCGCAATCGGTGCTCCCATGTTTCTCTTCTCCGAAGGCTGCCCTCTGCCAGGCGCCATCACCGCTCGCCTCGCTCGGCTACACGCAAGAGCTATCCTGGGCAAGGGTGGCCTTTGGTGCGCGGCTTGCGAGGGTAGCGGCCTGCGTGCTTGAGCTTGGCCCCTTGCGCTCCCCGAGATCAGCGCACGAGGTCCCTCTGGCGGAGCCCGGGCATCCGACGTCGTGCCCTTTGCACAACGTGGCCCCCCAAAGGTCTGGACACCTTCCAGGGGGGCAGCTTCTCACACCGAGCCGTTGTTGAACGGCCCCCTAGGCCCGGCAAGGTTCCCCAGAGGCAAAGAGTTGTGAAAACCGTCCGTCGCAAGGACGTCAGTGGCGAAGGGTAACCCCTAAGGGTCTTGTATTTTGGTCCCCCCCACCTTTTCACTCGGCGGTGACTAGGACTGGTCTTGAAACCTCCTCCTACTCCTCCTCCTCCTCCACATTTGCATAAAATGAATACTACTCTCCTCCCTTCCCCTGATGACGTTCGGAAGATATTTGGCCCCGTTCCGCGTAATGTTTTTTACGCACAGATCCCCGGGACTTGGGTTTTCGCATGTTTTTTTTTTTAAATGCGGTTCCCGCTGAAACGCTGGCCTCATTTTCGGGTTTCCGCTCGTTCCGACTCGTGCTCCCGCTGCAACGCTGGCCTCATTTCCGCATTTCCGTTCGTTCCGAATCGTGCTCCCGCTGCAGCGTTGGCCTCATTCCCTGGTTTTCATATATGGTTTTGACAATCTGATTTTTTCGGTCCTTCAAAATGTTGCTCCCGCTGCAAATCTGGCCCCATTTATGCGCATCTGGTTGTTCCAAAACGTGCCTTGCTGTAGCGCGGGCGTTTTCGGCCCTTCCAAAGTAGCCCCCAAATCTAAGAAAAAAAGACCCCCAGAAAAGAAAAAAGATCATCGCACGCGATTGCACATCCAGTGTCGATTCCTTGAGTTTTTGGGCCGCAAAAGCCCCCCCACTTCGGGGCGGCGTCGTCTGGAGGAAATATCAAGCGGGAGCCCTGTTTCTGATTTCAGAAGGCGATGTTGCAAGCAGAGCCACCCGTTGCTCTCCATCAGCCCCGCCTTGTGGGGAGCTTTTCGGGGAGCCCAGGGAGCTAAACATGAGGCCGCGACTCAAGACCGGCCCAAACCCTTCGAAGACGATCTACCGACCCTCCAAGGAACCCGGAGCCGTGCCATGACATGCTGTGCGGTGTTCTGTTCTGCGCCGCTGTGCGATGCTATGATTTGCGTTGCAATGCTTTGCGATGCATGCATCAATACGCAATGCCACGTCATGCGATGACCGCGATCATTGCCCTGCTCGGCATCCGAATGTGCGCATAGAGAGGAAATCTACGCCATGGTGCGGGATGGGAGGGAGGGGTAGGACGTCAGATATGACGCGAGCGCACCTAGCTTGAGCATCTCCCTCTCCTCCTTGTCCTCCTCCTCCTCCTCGTCCTCCTCTCGCTCCTCCTCGTGCCATCCGTAAAGAGGAGGAGGAGGAGGAGGAGGAAGGGGAGGAACACGTTGTTGTCGTTGTCGCTGTTGTTGCTGACGTAGCTGTCGTCGCCGTTGTTGCGCGGCGGATGCCGCGGAAAACAATAACTTGTTACCATCTATTGGTGAGACCCCAACCCTTCAATGACGCCGACGATAAAATAATTTGTATTTGGGGGAGGGTGCTGAAGACCCTCCTTCGCGGTTAACCGCCTCGTGTTATGTGGCCAGGCATGGGAGCCGCAGGTAGTCGCACGAGTGCCCCTTTGAACCCACTGGATCCCACTACATCCCACCTGCGGCCCCACCGAATCCAACTAAAAACCCACGTGAGCACCCACGAAATCCCACCAAATCTCAGTCAGCCATAATTTGAAATTTGGGAAACTTTTTGGACCGAAAAGGAACTCCCATACAGCAAGAGCTCGACCACAAGAAACCTATCCCAAGAAACCCAACCGTGAAACACCAGGACGCCCCATCCTTTCTTGGCGTGGGAACGTCACGCTTTCCATGGCAGAGCCATCGTACACCGAGAAACCCAGAGCACCCTGGAGGCAAGCAAGGTGCTCCTTGGCATGGGCTTGGCCACCCAACTCGCGTCACCGCCTCGACCCCGCGCCGGCCCCATCGAGCGGGGCCGCCGCGGGTGCGACGGGCCCGCCGGGCCGCGCCTCCTCGGGCTCGGAGCCCTCCGGCAGCTGCTTGGGGCCCTCCTCGGGACGCGCGCATCCCTCGTCCTTCTCGCCCTCCTCCTCCTCCTCCTCCTCCTCGCCCTCCTCCTCGTCCTCCTCGTCCTCCTCGTCCACCTCCTCCTCCTCCTCCTCCTCCTCCTCCTCGTCCTCGTCCTCCTCGTCCTCGTCCTCCTCCTCCTCCACCTCCTCCTCCTCCTCCTTCCTCCTTCTCCTGTTGCGGTGGCCAGACCTTACGTGTGAACATGTGGCGTTCTTGCGACTGTAGGGAAACGACTCGGCGCAAAAAAGACCTTGGCGGGCGCCGCGGAAAATGAGCTAAGTGTGGGAAAAACGAAGAAACAAGAGTAGGCGCCCGCCCGGTCATCGAGGTCGGCAAGACACCTTAGTTGGTAAAGCCAAATATAAAGTAATATGAGATCTACCGAAAGTAAGGGCCCGTAAGATCAGTTGGTGCTGCCGCCTCGGTAAGCAAGGTCCCAGCATGCACCTTGGAGTGCAAAACAGATGAACACATAACCGAAGCCATGAGTATCAACATTGAGGTACATGCTGTTGGACAAATGGGCAAGTGAAGGAAAAGTGAAGAGCGACGCCTTGACTGTGCAGTTCTAGGATTGCTGCCCTGGGTTTTGGTTCACCCCAACCGTAGGTACATACTCCTCCGCCAACCGCACCGATAAACCATACTCGTCCCCCCGTCCTTCGCTGCAGTAGATGGTTTGCGGTTTGCACCAGTACGTGCTGCAGTAGATGGTTTGCGGTTTGAGCAATTCAGGATAGAAACAGGGTTGCTATCGGACGCCTGTAAGTGCTCAGGCTGGCCTGTAGGTGTAGGCCTCGTCCTCCTCGTCCTCGTCCTCGTCCTCCTCCTCCTCCTCCTCCTCCTCGTCCTCCTCGTCCTCTTCGTCCTTCTCCTCGTCCTCCTCCTCCTCATCCTCCTTCTCCTCGTCCTCCTCGTCATCCTCCGCCTCCTCCTCCTCCTCCTCCTCCTCCTCCTCCTCCTTGTCCTCCCCTGCTCCTCCTCCTCCTCCTCGTCCTCGGGGGACACGCCGCTTTGCAGGTGGCGAGCGGGGTTTGGTTGCGGAGGGGGGCCGACACCATCGCGTCGCGAAAAGATGGCGACAGAGGGGCGTCAAAAGAGGCCCGAGTAGATGGGCTCACAGGGTGGCGCAGCATCGCCAATGCATCGGCGATGTATCGGCGATACATCGCCGACGTCGGCGACGCATCGGCGCCGTTGGCGTGGAGAATCTCTGGCTCCACATCGAGCCGCATCGCCGAGGTATCGCCGATGCGTCGCCGATGCATCGGCGATGCGGCGCGACCCTCTGATCCGATCTACTCCGGCCCCATCCAGGGGGCCTAGAACAATAATTAGCCCCACAAACCTACTGACCCATCGCGACTGCCTAATACCTCAAGTGGAGTCTGGACGTCGAGGTCCTGGTGCCATCTTTTGGCCCTCCTGGACGGTTCCTGATCGACCTCGGACTGAGGGAGACCAGCGGGGTCTGAGGAGTCTGTGGGAGGCCCTGGATCGGGGCGAGGCTTTCAGGGAGGCTCGGGATTGGAGCGAAGCTGAATCTCGAGCAGGGACCGACCGTCCCAGCTTTCCTATAGGTCTACCATGACATGTTCTTAGATGCCCCAAATCCTCACATAACAAGAGCAATGATCTTAGAGCATAAGCCCGCTGTGTTGTAACGAGACAGTCTCAGCCATGCATGTTCTTAGAGCAAAAGTTCGCGCAGTCCACGAAAGGCTATTGGAACATTCTTTGGTGGGCCTACAAGCAAGCCAGGACGCTTCGCACACCGCTCGATACTCAGGGGCCAGGGCAGCCCTGGGTCGGACAAGCCCCAGTATCTTCACAATTCTATCGACCTCCTGCTGCCCCAGAGATCTGGCGTTGACAAAAAAAAGGTGACATCGCCAAAAACCACGACTGGAGCCCTGTAGGCCCCATCTCTCCGCGTCATTGCGCGGCCCGGCTCGATCCGTGAGGGCCCTGTTGCCCGCAACCGGGCGAAAACGCCCTTTGCGAACACAGTGGCACGCCAGGACCTCGCCATCGCTCGGACGTCGACTTCTCGTGGATTTTCTCGACTCGTGCGAGCTCCTCAATGGTCCTCGCCCAAGGAAAAATGCACACGTCCGAGAGACGCCAAGCGGATCTCAGGGGCCCGGACACCTCTGGCGCCCCCGTTCTGGGTGACCCTAAAGGGGGTCCAGCTGAAAGGGGGTGGTGCCACATATTTGGGGCAAGTGTATTGCAAATGTACTGCGCCGGAGAATTGTATTGCATTGTATTGCAAGTAATGCATTGCACGCGACAAGGCAGCGATACATCTGCGCCTCGAGATGTATTGCACGCCCCAAATGTACTGCAATCCTACAAAATATGTTGCACACACCCTTGTCGCTGGACCCCCTTTTGGGTCAACCCGACCCGACCCGTCCGCCCCCTTGGCCCCTGGCTCCTCTGGGCCCGCGCCCTCTGGCTCGGGCGAGGCCGCGCCGACTGGGACTGCGGCGCCCGCGCGGAGTGCTGCGGGCTCGGAGGCCCCAGCGGCCGCCGCCAGCGCGGCCGCGAGGAGGGCCAACCGCCTCGCCGCCATTGGGCCGCGGAGGTGCCGGAGCCTCGCGGGGCGTCCGGGGGGGGAGGGCGGGGCGACGATGTCTGTGCACATCCTTGCGTTGCTCCCCTCGTACTCAAGGGCCACATCCCAGAGAAATGGTTTCGAGCATCCAGAAAAATATCGAAACAATGTCGGACGAAGGTCTCCCAGGGCCCGACACGTGAAAGCACTCGATTTTCCGTACTTTTTTGATGCTCGCAATTCTTTCTGGTGATCAAGGCTAAAGTAGGTTGGAACATCATAAACGTATCCACTGCCCCCTGGCCAAGTCCATCCTGAGCCCAGCAGCGGTGCATACGCCACGCCCTCCTGGCTTGGCCACGGGGGCGTATGCACCGCTGCCGGGCTCAGGATGGGCTTGGCCAGAGGGCAGTTGATGTGTATAGACATCGTCGCCCGAGAGGGGGGAGCTCGAGGTTCGAACTTCGGGATATGTATAGCCTTCGTTGCCCGAGAGGGGGGGGGGAACTCGAGGTTCGAACTTCGAGGTCGAGCCCGGACTTTCTGCTCGCCCCTCGTGGGCCTCCAGGGGGCTCCCCATCGCCACGGCTGGATCCGTCACTGGACCGCGGCTGGGCAAGAGCCTCGCGAGGCATCCGAGGAGCTTCGGAGTTCGAATCGGGAGGTCCAGGCGCTGCAATCGTTTCACGCTGGACGTTTTCGCCCCGATGCGGGCCCAGTACTTCTTCCTCTCCGACCCCACCGAGCTGTTTTTCTTCTCGCGGCACCACGAGTGGCGCGCCACTTTGGCTGGACCTCCCCGGCGGCCCCTGGCGGGTCGCGCGCGACTGGCGGCGACGAGGAGGGGGAGGAGGGGCCGGCGGACACGCCGACGGGGAGCTTGGCGACGCCGCGCGGACGGACGTCGCGAAACCTGGTGGCGTTCGGGCCATCTCTCGGGCCTCAGGCCCCCCTAAACAAAAACTCTCGACGAGGCGCAGCTGCCGGAGAGCACCCCAAGGCGAGAAAATTCCCGAGAGCGAGCGACTACATCCTCTCCCCCCTCCGTCCTCCTTCGACGACGCAGGCGTTCCGACGGAGGTCGGGGGCACCTTCCCCCCCGCCGCGCCCTTGACGGCCCCACCCCTGGCGCTGCAGCCCGGTCGCCACGAGTTTCCGTCGGTCGCCCCTCCGACCTCTCCCGGGCGGCCCCCGGCGACGGCCCGCGCCTCTGCGGGCAGCCCCCGCCCGCGGGGTGCCTGGCCGCGCGGCAGCCCGCCGGGCGGGCGGGCCGGGACGGGATCGGGGGGGTGGGCGGCGCGGCCGCGCGGCGGCTGCGGGCGGGGTGCCTCCTCCTCCTCCTCCTCCTCCTCCTCCTCCTCCTCCTCCTCCTCGCTTCGGTCCTCGCAAATCGCCCCCTGTGGCTATCACTGTGCTACGCCTACGGCATGGGGAAAGGTTGCGATATGGACGGGAACGGGACGCGCAGCGAACGAGGCCGCGTTCTCTTCTCTTCCCTGTCACAGCCTCGGTAGTGGATCGAAGCTCACTTCACCTCGATCAAACACCGAGCTCCGCACTCTTCCATAACTTTTATCCTGACAGGGAGTACTTGAAGAAAGGGAGGAGGAACCTGAAGCCAAAATAGCTTCCTGCCACCATGCTGGTTGCCAAACCTCCTCGGGCCGAACCCCTTGCAATGGTGGCAAAGGCTTCTCTGTCAAGGGAAAGCCTTTCGAAAAGGAGCCAAATGAGATCGACGCTCCCGTGACAATGATGCACGCCTTGGCCGTGTTACGGAGGAGGCCGCGGAGGCCGCGGAGACCGTGGACCAAACAACAACCCCTGGCGTTGTCATGGCCACGGCCAGCGACGCCGGCATCGTGCACTGGCCCCGCACGCTGCCCATCACTCGCTGGAACAAATACTGGCTGCATGAGATGATGAATTCCCACGGCCTCCACTGCGATCCAGCCGCCACTACCAGGGAAAGTGTGGCGACGGCACTGAGATACCACGACTGCCTTGGACGACAAGGCGCCGGGACAAACCTTTTCGCGAATCACTTTGCCCAGCGGAAGGGAGATAACGCAAAAAGACCTCGCAAGCAGTTGAAGAAAGCCATATCCTGCCAACCAGGGGCCGTTTGGCTGCCCACTGGGGGAGTCGTGGCTGTTCGACGTTCGTCACGAGCTACGAGCAACAGGCGGCGGACCCGACTGCAAGAGACGCTGACTGGCAACTGGCCTACCACGGTACCATCATTTTCTCGCTGGCATGCATGTGGACTAACGATTGGCACTACGATAGGAAGGCCGGCCCAGCTGCGAAGGACGGCGTGCGCGGCGCGTGCTGCGAGGGCAGCCGCCAGGAAGGGTGTGTTCTCCCATGTGACACATCTAAGCTGCGACGCCCTTCATGAGCAACATGTGAAAGGAGAGGTTCTACAACTCTACGTGGACCGCAAGAAGCGCGCCAACTATCCCCGAAAAGATGTCCACAAACTGTGGTATCAGGAACAACGACCCGTGTACGTGACACCAATGTGGATTCATTGCACGATTGTGCAACAATCCATCTACGAACCCAAACGTTTCGGCTACTACACTACAAGATCTGGAACCGCAGGGTGCGCGTGTGGTTGTTTGCTTTGCGCAACCCCGAGATTGTGGAGCCAACGCGTCCGTTCCTGGATGAGGAAACACTCGCGAAAGACATTCAAAAGGGTGTGGGAAAGTTGCTGCCATGAGACACCTGGTGAGGGCCCAGTTGGTGGCTCGCATGGTCTTCGATGGAGTTGAGAACTCACGAACCCAACATGGCCCATACCGTGGATGCGGTGTCGACCCTTCCCAATGGACGACGGACGCTCCAATGTGTGGCGCTTCTCGGCGACCAGTTCGCCTGGACCCTCGGATAAGCATGCATCCTTTTGAGCTATGACAGTAACTCGATATGCTTGTACACTTATCTAAACAGGACTTGCTTCCGCGTTATGTAAATGACTATCGACCCAGATGTCCTCCTTCTTGGTGTTCGCAATCAACGACAAAACGCTTCGGGGAGTTCGCGGCCAAGATATTCGGCGACAGCTCGTCTTAGATGCTCTTGCCTCCACCTGGCAACTATCTTTGCTAAACAGTTTTTCTTCGTTCATATTCCCAGGTCGCTGGCGATGCTCTTCAGGTCAACTTTGCAGATATCCCTGTCGCTTCTTAGCGAGCGTGTGATTGTCAGCCACATGCCCAGATCTTTCAGGTAAGGTTTTTAACGACATGTATGGATTTGTCCCGTCCCAAATCGGTGGCAACTCGTTTGCCAATTTGGGCGCATCCGCTGGGATCCGGTCAAACCTTGTCATAAGGAAGCGCGATAAGGATGCAGGGGCCTTGGAAGCCCATTTCGAAGCTTTTCGAGCGGGGCGCGGCCAACGAAAGTGGCCAAGGATGGGCCGAAGAGGCAAGGATGCAAAGGTACCTTTGGGAAGGTTGTCCATCCTTAGGGTTGACTGTAACGAATCGGGCACGTGGTCTTTTGCCAATCGCATCGGTGGCTTCACCCCACCAGCTTGGAGCGCTCGGCCGAAACGGGGGCGCTGTGCCGCGCAGAGGCGCGCTCAAACCAGCCGCTCCAGCCAGTGTTGCACGGGCTCTGCTCGGGTTCTCTGTCTGCGCGTACTGGGGAAACCCATCCGTTCTCGGCATCCCCACCAGGGATCGCGAGCTGCTTCGAATGGGTCCGCCTCGTCGTCGTCATCGAACTCGGAACGCCAGCGACCCCAGTCAGACTAAGACCACCCTTGTGTCCCGTTGCTTTCCGATTGGCCTCCGTCTTGCGCTCCTCCAAGAGCTACAATGGTGGCGCACAGCCCAGGGATCGGGGAGAGAGGGCAACGGGAACAGGAAAGGGCTCTCACCCCAGTGGGATAGCAGGCGTGTCGGTGAGGCCTTCCTGAACCTCCCGACGGGGCCGGAGCCACGTGGGCTCCACTACCACTGTGGACATCACTGCGGCAACTCAAAATTAGCCTGGCGAAGGACCCAACCATATGCAGTTGTGAGTACTGTCTTTGTGAGCAACGCATTCGGTGGGGTTCCCTATAAGGCCACGAAACGCTGCCCTGGGTGCGGGAACCGCATGCGAACACCCCCGCTGGGGCCTTCGGTGGAGCTCCCCATGGGGCCACGAAGCGCTGCCCTGGGTGGGGGAGAGCATGCGGGCACCCCCACTGGGGCCTTCGGTGGAGCTCCCTATGGGGCCACGAAGCGCTGCCCTGGGTGGGGGAGAGCATGCGGGCACCTCCACTGGGGCCTACGGTGGAGCTCCCCATGGGGCCACGACACGCTACCCTGGGTGGGGGAACCGCATGCGGGCACCCCCACTGGGGCCTACGGGGGGGTTCCTACGTGGCCACGAAACGCTGCCCTGGGCGGGGGAACCGCATGCGACCCCCCCACTGGGGCCATCGGCGGAGCTCCATATGGGGCCACTAAGCGCTGCCCTGGGCAGGGGAACCGCATGCGGGCACCCCCACTGGGGCCATCGGCGGAGCTCCCCATGGGGCCACGAAGCGATGCCCTGGGCGGGGGAACCGCATGCGACCCCCCCCCACTGGGGCCATCGGCGGAGCTCCCTATGGGGCCACTAAGCGCTGCCCTGGGTGGGGGAGCCGCATGCGAACACCCCCACTGGGGCCCATCGGCGGAGCTCCCCATGGGGCCACGAAGCGCTGCCCTGGGTGGGGGAAACGCATGCGACCCTCCCCCACTGGGGCCATCGGCGGAGCTTCCTATGGGGACACGAAACGCTGCCCTGGGTGGGGGAACCGCATGCGACCCCCCCATTGGGGCCATCGGCGGAGCTCCCTATGGGGCCACGAAGCGCTGCCCTGGGTGGGGGAACCGCATGCGACCCCCCCTCATTGGGGCCATCGGCGGAGCTCCCTATGGGGCCACGAAACGCTGCCCTGGGTGGGGGAACCGCCTGCGACCCCCCCCCACTGGGGCCATCGGCGGAGCTCCCCATGGGGCCACGAAGCGATGCCCTGGGTGGGGGAACCGCATGCGACCCCCCCCACTGGGGCCATCGGCGGAGCTCCCTATGTGGCCACGAAACGCTGCCCTGGGTGGGGGAAACTCATGCGACCCCCCCCCATTGGGGCCATCGGCGGAGCTCCCCATGGGGCCACGAAGCGCTGCCCTGGGTGGGGGAACCGCATGTGACTCCCCCCCAACAGGGGCCATCGGCGGAGCTCCCTATGGGGCCACGAAGCGCTGCCCTGGGTGGGGGAACCGCATGCGAGCCCCCCCCCCGCTGGGGCCATCGGCGGAGCTCTCTATGGGGGCACGAAGCGCTGCCCTGGGTGGGGGAACCGCATGCGACCCGCCCCCCCACTGGGGCTATCGGCGGAGCTCTATGGGGACACGAAACGCTGCCCTGGGTGGGGGAACCGCATGCGACCCCCCCACTGGGGCCTTCGGTGGAGCTCCCTATGGGGCTACGAAACGTGTAAGAGTTGTGCCGAGAGCAGAGGCAAGGAGGGGGAGGAGGGAGGAGGGGGAGGAGGAAGGAAGGAGACGCGGGGCACCGTCTCTTCAAAACGAGGACCCAACACCACAGGATGGTTGGGAACAAATGGGGGATGCAGTAACCGCTGGGCGGCGCTCACGGCGCGCCACAGAACTCAAGGGGCCTTGCGGGCTGAGCGGCGGCGGCAGAGCAGCGGTGGATAGAGAGAGCGGTGAGGGGGGAAGCGAGGCTGGAGCAAACATAACAACCACATTCCCCCCGTCGCGCCACCAGGCGTCTCGTTGAGGGCACGGAGGAGACGCGGCCGACGATGGCGCGGGCGAGGCTGTGGACGAGGGCGAGGCCGGAGGAGCGGACGAGCGCGCGGAGGATGATGACCTGGAGTAGCGTGAAGACCAGCTCGAGGCGCATCGTGCTGCCACCAGGGGACGCTGGAAAAGGAGCGAGGGGCAGCTTCTGGGCACGGCGAGCCTGGGCACCGAAGAGGACCCCCCGGCCCATGTGTCCAGATCTCATGGGCGGCCGGGCAGCAGGGGCCCCTCCCGAACCGAAAAGCAGCCCTTGTGTCCGCGTCTTGGCCGTGAGGCCTCCCCGTCGCGCCACGGGGCGCAGCGTCGAGGCCGCTTCACCTGAGGCGGCCTCGCTCGAGGACTCCTATGGGTGGGGTCCGAGTAGACGGGTTCGAAGGATCGCGCCGCCGCATCGCCGATGCATCGCCGATGCATCGGCGACGTCGGCGACGTCGGCGATGCCTCGGAGACGTCGGCGATGCCTCGGAGACGTCGGCGTGCGGAGAAACGGACTCCACATCGAGCCGCATCGTCGATGCATCGGCGATGCGACGCGACCCTCCCACCCCACCTGCTCGGACCCCCATCCGGGAGGCCCGGACTCACAAAATCTGTGCTCTCGAGGCTCGGCGACGTGCAGCACGTGCCGGGATGGGGCACACCTCGTTCGCACAAGCGGGGCCCTCGCCCTGGCGCCGCGCACGCCTCGTACTGCAGCGGAGGCCCATCCACAGGAGACCTTCCACGAGAAGCCCAACCCCGAGACCCCAGGACGTCCATCGATTTTTGGTGTGGGAACGTCACGCTTTCCATCGCAAAACCAGCGAAACCCAAGAAGCCCAGGGCACCCTGGAGGCAAGCAGGGTGCTTCTTGGCATGGGCCTCCGCTGTATTCAACAACTGCAACTGCAGGGCTGGAGGGCGGGTGGTTTCCAAGACGGACCTCGCGCCGAAAAGCTGGGGCACTTCGTCTGAGACGCTGGCAGCCGTTACCGTGGCGGAGGGTGCTTCGTGTTCAAAGTGGGGCTCGCTGGAGACGCTCCCGGGATCGAACGACCCGAGGTCCAAATTGCGCCACAGCTTGACGGATGGAGGGCGGTGCCCTTTTCCAAAGTGGGGCTCTCGATTGAAAACTTCCTATAACGACAAGAACGCTGATGCTGCGCATTGCTATTACACGGATGGAGGGCGCACCTTTTCCAAAAGGGTGTTATCGTTGGAGACGCCCTTGAACTGCATGACCCTGCCCTTTCGCGTGACTCATTGCTGGAAGGATGAAGGTGGGTCTTCAACGAAGCTGCGTCTCGCCCCCGAATTATAGGCCCGCGGTGGGGTCGTCAGGGTGTGTGGGGGGGGGGGAGGGCGCTTCCCGCGGCGGAGAGGGATACCTCTAGGGACTCGTGGGGAGGAAACTCGTGACGGCAGGGCGTGTTGCAGCCTTGCTGACGCATCTTGGGTTTGCTTTGGTCCTCCTCCTTCTCGGCGCGGGATCCTCCCTACTCCCTTCCTTTCGACGGCATGCCCGCGGGCCCTCCCGTGGCGTCGACCCTCTCCTCATCAACCAGCTCCTCCTACGCGTTTTCCTTCTCCTCCTCCTCCTCCTTCTCCTCCTCTTCCTCCTCCTCCTCCTCCTCTTCCTCCTCCTCCTCTTCCTCCTCCCCCCGCGGCAACAATTTTAGCTGATGCCAACTCGCGCCCAAGCGGATCATCCCGGTGCTGGCACGACGGCGCCAGCGACCGCGGTGAGGGAGGCGATGACCACGATCGCGAAGCCCTCGCCCGGAAGCAGCTCCATCCTGCCCCCGCTGGCCTGACGGCCGCCTGTGCACGAGGGCGGCGGAGGCGCCGAAACATCTACCAACGCTGGACTGTACAGCTGATCTCCTGCTGCGCAGCCAAGCCCTCGCGGCGCGGTGGCGTCCAAGATCCCATACCGTCTGTACTGGTAAGTGGCCCCGCCGCGGCGGAAGGAACATAGCTTGTAACGGACGGCGGCAGGCTGCAGCGTAATGCAACGGTCAACGAACATCCCATCAACCTTGTAGGGCGTGAGTGGTTTAGAAGGTTTCCTCTTCCAACCCCCTTCTTCCCTTCGGGGAGGGGCTTGCCCCTCCCCCGACCCCCTCCCAGTGGACCTGGCGGGTGTGGGCGCGAGGGGTTAGAGCGTCCAAAACGGCTTCGGCGAGGAAGCCAACATCATTGATGTTACTGATGTGTTGGTCACAAGTTAGCCTCGAGTGTGGGTGGGGGGCGTAATTGAGTACGGACTGTCCTTTGATCGATCTCCTCCAAGATGGCCCTAATATGGCCCCCAAGAGGCCCCTAAAAGGCTCCCAAGAGACCCCCAAGAGGCCCCCAGAGGCCCCCCAGAGGCACCAAACACGCCCCAAGAAGCTTCGGCGAGAAAGCAAACACCATTGATGTTACTAAGATGTTGGCCTCATGTTGGCCTCCTGGGGGTGGCCCCAATTAAGGAACCTTTTCCTTTGATCGATCTCATCCAAGATGGCCCCACGATTGCCCCCGAGGCTCCCAAGGTTGCCCCAAGAGGGCGCCAAGAGGTGCCCAGGAGGCCCCTAGAGGCCCCCAAGATGCCCTCACGAGGCTCCCGAAAGACCCCCAAGAGGCCCCCCCCCAGAGACACCCAAGACGCCCAAAGAGGCCTCGGCGAGAATGACAACATCATTGTTACTAGAAGTGTTGGCCGCATGTTGGCCTCCTAGGGGGAGGGGGCCTGAGTGAGGAGCACCCCCTCCTTTAATCGATATCTTGCAAGATGGCACCAAGATGGCCCGAGGCTGCCCCAAAACGGACCCAAGAGGTGCCCAGGAGAGGCCCCAACGCTGCGCCCAAGATGCCCCCAAGATGCCCCCAAGAGGCTCCCAAGAGACCCCCAAGAGACTCCAAGAGCCGCCCCCCCGGGGCACCCAAGACGCCTCAAGAGGCCCCAGAGACTGCCAAGAGACCCCCAGACGCCCCAAGAGGACCCCAAGACGCTCTCGAAAGAAATCAGAAACGAGGCCGCTGGTCTTTCTTCTCGCCCTCCTGCTCCTCCTCCTGCTCCTCCTCCTCCTCCTCCTCATCATCACCATCATCCGACTGTTCCTTTTCCTCCTCCCTCCTCCCACCTCCCCTCACCCTCTTTCTCCTCCTCCTCCTCCTCCTCCGATTTTTTCTCCGTCCTCCTCTTGGGGCATGACGTCTTACCCAGCCCTGTCTTCCACCGCAGTCCCCGCCACATCTCTGATCGGGGCAACTCGCCTGGACATCGTTTCTGGAGGGGCGGATGGGATTGCGCGAAGCGTGCATGGCACCCAGCTGCATGCCGCCGCCCGCAGCCAGCAGACAGCGGCCAGCAGGCGGGCAGACGCCTCCCGGCAGAGGTTACTTCGACCCCCTCGTGGAAGCTCGCTCGCCGCGCGGGCTGGCGGCGCGCTCCGTCGAGCGCACACATAGCCACTAATCACTTGGCGGCGCGCAGAGGGGGGGTGGGAGGGAAGGCCTCTTAGGAGGAGGCTGCTTCTCAGAAGGCGACAACCTTACGCATCTACAGACAAGGCCCGCGCCTTCAGAGAAGCAGGGGCGCTTCTGAGAAGCCTTTCCCCCCCCTCCCCTCCCCCCTCCGCGCGTGGCCGATTCGCGCGGCATCGCAGTGCGTGCTGACTGCGAACCGCCGCGCCGTGGCCAAAGAACTGGTGCCCTGCCACGGCGCCACAAGGGCCTCCACACACACCCAGCGGCGCGCACCGTGGGCGGTTCAGGGAGGGGGGGGGCTCCCGAGGGACGGGGCCCCGAGGACAGGCAAGGGATCCCAAGCGGAACACCCGCTGCTGGAGGCCACTCGCCCGCAAGGCCCCGTCTCTCCCTCCTCCTCCTCCTCCTCCTCCTCCTCCTCCTCCTCCTCTTCCTCCTCCTCCACTCCTTTTCCTCATAGATAACGTCTCCCTGTCGCACCCCGAGACCGGTCGAAAGGGCGGGCCGGGCGTTTCGCCTGAGACTTGCTCACCATTTATGACCATGAAGCTGAAACATTGGTAACGGTTTCGCAGATGGAGGGCGGGCCGTTTTCAAAATGTGGCTCTCGCCTTAGCGCCACGCACAGTCGATTAAATCAATTCCAAGAGTTTCAAAGGTTGAGGGCGGGTGGTTTTCAAAATGTTGCTCTCGCCTCAGCGCCGCAAACATTTGCTCTCTTTTTTCCAACGAGAGAGAGAAACAAATGTGGCTCTCGCCTTCGCGCCACGCACACTCCTGTTACGAAGTGCAAGAGTTTCACGGGTTCCCATTATCAGCGCACGAGAAATGGTGCTCTGGAAAGACTCAAGATTATGAGGGTACAACAATTACGTTGATTCGCGGTGTTGAAGTCCAAAGAATGGCGTTCTGGCACGATTCAGGATCGTCAAGACGCAACAGCCAGGTTGATCCGTGGCGTGGGAGTCCCGATAATAATGTCTTGGCATGCTTCAGGGTCTTCAAACAGCTGTCTCCCAGCGAGGCAGTTCCCTGAACGGAAATGAATCCTTGTAAGGGGCCTATGAACATGGAGCTTGGAGGGCGGGTTCATTCCAATTGGGTTTGCACTGGTCCTTCTCCTCCTCCTCCTCCTCCTCCTCCTCCTCCTCCTCCTCCTCCTCCTCCCTCCTCGAGGCCCCATCCCCCCGAAACGCGCCAGCACGAGGGGACGGCGCGGGGGCGCAAGGATGGAGAGGCCTCCTCCGAGAGGGGTGTGTTTTTCGCAGAAGGCAGGGGGGGGGGCCTTCTCGAGAAGCGCCCCGAGATGCCCCTGAGGAGACCCCCCCTCGGAAGCCGTGGAGGGTTCGCGAGAAGGCCCCCTCCGCCTTCTGAGGAGCCCTCCCTGCCTTCTTAGGAAAACCGCCCCTCTTGCGCCCCCATCCGTGTCCTGCCCGCCCGCCGAGCACTGCTCCACCTCCTCCTCCTCCTCCTCCTCCTCCTCCTCCTCCCCCTTCCCCTTCCCTCTCTTCCTCCTCCTCCACCTCCTCCTCCTCTTCTTATTATTTTTTCTTGTTCAGAGTATTAGTATTATTATTTTGATTCGTATCCTTCTTATGTTCTTCTTATCATTAGTCTGTTATTAGTATTAGTATTAGCATTACTATTATTACTGTTATTACTATTATTATTGTTATTATTAGCATTATCATTATTACTTTTACTATTCTAATGATAATTAATATTATTAGTTGTCCTCCTCCTCCTTCACCTCCTCCTCCTCCTCCTCCCCCTCCTCCTCATCCTACTCCCCCCCCTCCTCCTCCTCCTTCTCCTCCTTCTCCTCCTCGCCCTCCTCCTCCTCCCCCACCTCCTCCTCCACCTCTTCCTCCTTCTCCTTTGCTTTCAACGTTGGTCAAACGTTAGCTAAGTGGCTGCCGCGTTCTCCACCGCATCCTCCTCCTCCTCCTCCTCGTTCTCGTCCTCGTCCTCCTCCTCCTCCTCGTCCTGCTTATCCTCCGTATCCTCCTTCTCCTGCTCATCCTCCTTATCCTCCTCCTCGTCTTCCTCCTGCTCCTCTTATCTTCCTCCTCGCATCATCATCATAGTCCCCCTCCCTCTCCTCCTCCCTCTGCGTTTCTGCGTTTCTCGCTCCGAGCAGCGTCTCCAGCCTCCTCCCTCTCCTCCTCCTCCTCCTCTTCCTCCTCCTCCTCCACCTCCTCCTCCTCCTCATCATGCTTTTGACGTTGGTCAGACTTTAGCTCAGTGGCTGCAGCGTTCTCCACCTCCTCCTCCTCCTCCTCCTGCTCCTCTTCAACTAGAGGCCAACGAATTCAGGTCCAAATAGATAGGGTCGGAGGATTGTGCCGCATCACCCATGCGTTGCCGCCGATGCATCGGCAACGTCGGCGGTGCATCGGCGACGTGGGCGTGGAGAAAATCGGGCTCCACATCGCGCCGTATCGCCGATGTATCGGCGATAGGGTGCAATTCTCTGACCTCACACACACACACTTCGCTAGCATCCACAACCAAGGCTTTCTACCCTTTCTTCTTCTTCTTCTTATTCTTCTTCTTATTATTATTATTATTCGTATTCTTATTATTATCCTTATTCTTCTTTCAATATTAGAATGCTGACCCGCAGTACTGATGCATGCTTGTTTTCCAGGAAGCCATGGCCTCCCCCACCTGTTCTCAACTAGGCCCAGACGATTGTCCGCAATGGTGATTCGTTCGCCCGTTCGGACCACATTTGTAGATGATAAAACGAGACACCAAAACAATTTCTCAGAGCTCGGCGCGGATTCTTGGATCGGCGCTTGCGCGCGCGAGGGCCACAACCGATAAAAAATCTGCACGGCGCTACGAGAACTTCCATGTATGCAGTTTGCTGGTCCTTCGACTCGCCCATCAGTCTCGTCGAATCTCTTTATCTCGACGGTCGCTGTCGACGCGTCGAAGCCCAGATCCCTGGGCTTTTTTCGCTCTGGTCGGCTACACGCAAGAGTGACCAAGGATAAGAGCGACCTTTGGTGCGCGGCTTTTTGGAGGCCGCGGGGGGGCCAACTACAGGCGCGCAAGACGCTACTACCGCATCGCGTTCGGCGATCGGGGGACCCCGTTTCGGGGGGGATGCGGAAAGGTGGGCTGGGGGCAGAGGTGGGGTTGGAACATCGCTCTGAACGGCCCCTGGAAGGAGGAAGCGTGAGCATCCAGCTGGGCTCGTTCCCCAGCCCCACCTTGGGATAACCACCCCTCAACGAACCCCCGAATAACCACTCTTCCCAGCGACCCCCGACGTCGTGATCTTGTTCGCAGCGTCGACCCCCGGGACCGGTTTTTCGTCCTGGGTCGCTCTTGGACCGTCCCGGTGTGAAGGCCGAAATGCACACGTCCGAGCGATGCCGAGGGGGGGAGGGGGGGGGGCGTGCCCTCTCCGAGGGGTCCGGGGGCCCCTGGCCCTCCGAGGAGCTCTCCGTGGGCCTTCTCCGAGGCCACGGAGGGCCTCCGTCAGGCCCCGGTGCCTCCGAGAGAGCCCAGCCGCCTTCTGATCGGGGAGGCGGAAGACCCCGGATTCGAGGGGCTCTCGGGTTGGCCCGACGGGGGGCCATCGTGAAAATGACGAGACCGAGCCTGCAATTCGACGCGAGCTCGCGCTGCAAACCTCCTACGAATACTGGACCGCCCAAATCCAGGACGCGCCCGTCAGCGTCGGCAAGCCCGAGTTCCGGCGTACAGTCGAAACGCTGCCATGAGGAACCCTAAACAAGGAGCGAGGCGCCTCTGTTTTCCACAAGGTAAACTTCGATTCCCCATAGGGAGATCGAAGCGCAGCGCGAGGCGGCGAGGAGCAGCCTCTCTGGAGAGGGCCTCCCCGGGGGGCCAGAAAGCCGTCGAGAAGCCCACGAGAGCCTTGGAAAGCGTCCTCCTCCTCCTCCTCCTCCTCCTCCTCCTCCTCCTCCTTCCCTTTCCATAGAAGCCCCGAGGGAAACAACCCTGGGAAAAGCTGTGAGACACAAGTAGGGCAGACTGGGCCCCTCCCCAGGAGGAAAGGGCTCCTTCTTCGGCGGCCCGACCGCGCTCGAGTCCCACGCGCTCCCCGAAATCTGAGGAGGCCGGCGCCCTCCCTGGCTGGCGCCTTCCCGGGCCCGCGCGGGGCACCGGGGGAGCGTGGGGCTCATTGGGACGTGTCATGATCGTGGCTTCCGAGGAGGAGGAGGAGGAGGAGGAGGAGGAGGAGGAGGAGGAAGAGGAGTTAGAGGAGGAGGAGGAGGAGGAGAAGGAGGAGGAGGAGGACAAACGCCAAGGCTTCACGCTCAGGTTGATCTAACGTAAAAAGGAGGAGGAAGGAGAGGCGGAGGAGGAGGAGGAGGAGGAGGAGGCGGAGGTGCTCCTCTGCTTCCTGGAAGGGGGCCCGCCCCTCTCCGCCCCCTCTTTGGGACGGAGGGGGCTGTGGGTGCGTGTTGTCGGATGGGAATCCTCGCTCGAACGAGAGCCTCCCCCACGGTCCGACAACCCGCACCCATACTGATACCCATGGCCAGTCCTCCTCCCTCTGATCCCCCTGTGGGTATGGGTGTGTGTTGTTCGGAAGCCTTCATAGACGAGCTCTTTGGAAGCCAAGAGGTCTTCTCAAGAGCAAGGCTGACCGCGGAACCCGCCACGACCTCATCGCGCGGTTCGCCACCACACGGTCTTGGGACCCTGGAGGCCCCAATCGCCCGAGACATCCTCGGAGAAAGACCCGAGTCCCAAAACCGCGTGGTGACCCCGAATCCCCGCTGACTCACTACGCGGTGTGGTCACCACACCGTTTGGGAGCCCCCGACTCTCGCCCATGGGGGAACTCAAAGGTACCGACACCGCTACTCCCCAGACCTATACTGGGGTGCGTTCTGACCGGAATTTCGAAGCGAATCCAGTCGTGGAGACGAGGGCCTCCGAGGAGGCCCGAACAGGGAAGAACAAGCGAGCGAAGGGTTGCGGTATTGGTACCTC